CCAAGAAACTGAACTTTTCTGTCAAATGCGCTTGATCGAATAGGAGAATTGGGTTCATAAAATGGATTCATTGCAAACTAGGAAAGAAGAAGGTATTGGTTTGTCAAAGCAAAAAGGCTGATAAATCAAGTCTCTAAATTATTTAAAACTTTTAAATTACAATTCATCAAAGAGGGGCTAGAGTTGTGGCTCAGTGGTAGAGCACTTGCCTGATATGTATGAGGCCCTGGGTTTGATCCTCAGCACTACATATGAATAAATAAATTAAATAAAAGGTCCATTGGCAACTAAAAAATATTTTTTTAAAAATTCATCAAAGATTGGTCTGGGGTTCTAGCTCAGTGGTACCCATGAGGCACTGGGTTCGATTCTCAGCACTACATAAAAATAAATCAATAAAATAAAGGTATTGTGTCCATCTAACTAAAAAAATCTATTTAAAAAAATTCATCAAAGATATTCAAAACAAGTCTGAATACCACATTTTTAGGTTTCACTGAAAATGCTCCATTGTTAAACATTAATGTCCCCTTGAGAAAATTTTTTGTTTTGGTGTTTTAGTTTTGAGAAGTACCTGTAGCAAAACTAATGGTAGTAGGATAGATATTGTGGGTATAAATTAAATTAATTTTCCAGATTCACCCTGTATGAGAAACAAACCTACTTGTATTCATACATTATAAATACATGGATTAATCTGTAAGRTCCTTTGGACTACATTAACAAAGGAAAAATTTTGTCATATGTTCAGTGTTAAGAAAAGTTATTCTTGTATGGTAACATTTTTTAATTGGAGTTTTAATATTCTTTCACACAAAGCTAAATGATCAGTTCCTTAGCTAAAGTAAGCACATTATAACATATGTAGGAAAAAATTAATATTAAATGAAATTACTAATAAGGAAAGAAGCTACTGATCATCACACCACAATCACTTGATAAGGTATCATTCTTCTCCCTTTGGTGAATATAGTTGAATTTATCAGGGAAGTAGCCTACCAAGAGCTGTTTTCCCAAACACATCTTAACTTGTCAGTGAAGACTTGCCTGCTGAGAAAGTTGCCAAAGCTAGTTCTAATTGGGGAAAATCTAGTGTGAAATGAAAAACTGCAAAAAGGAGTTACTTAAAACAGTCTAGTTTCCTGTCAAAGCTAGAATCCTTTTTTATAATCAGATTTTAAAAAATTGGAGAAGATACCATACCTTTATATATAAATCATAGACATCAGTAAAGAAGTTCTTGATTCCATCTTCTTGCCTTATATCATGAAGCATAATAAWTCTCATATGTGAAATAATTAAGGTATAATCTTTATTAGAAATGAAAAGTGAAAAAGCAATAATTGCTATGTTACTCAAATTAGTCACATGCATGGTAGTTTGCGATGGAAAAGTTAAATACATAAACTGGGTCTAAAGTCAACTTAGTTTTACCTTAAAGAGAATATAATCTTTAAGTCAGAAATACATACAAAATAAAATCATCCTCAATATGATTCAGATAAACCCGTTTTTCTTTTGGGGGCAGGGGAGGTACTAGGGATTTAAACCAGGGGTGCCACATCCCCAGCCCTTTTTTGAGACAGAGACTTGCTAAGTTGCTTAGGGCCTCACTAAGTTGCTAAGGCTGRTCTTGAACTTATAATCGTCCTGCCTCAGCCTCCCAAGTTGCCAGGATTACAGGCGTGCACCACTGCACCTGGCTAAACCTGAGTTTTATAGATAACTTTAAAATGATCTGTTAAAACACAGTTTTTCCTAAWAGAAAAGTAGCCTAGGGCAGGGTTTGTGGCTCAGTGGTAGAAAAAATAAATAAAATAAAGGTATTGTGTCCAACTATAACTACAAAAACTATTTAAAAAAAGTAACCTATAAATTGAAAATTTTTACCTGATTCTTTGAAACCTATAGACTCAGAGCCTGTATCTGTGCTACATGTTCTATTTGCTAACCCAACCTTAGTTCAGTATCTTTACTAATAAGTTAAGGATATGCCCTGCAGTGACAAATGCTGACACAAACCACTCATTGAATTTGTCCACAGTTTTCAAATACATATTATTTGAAAGCCACATGTTTTCATCCACAAGGTCAAGAGCAGCGTGAGCTATGAATTGGTTCAGATGACGATGRTCATCCTAAATGACAGAGAGAAGCAACAGATTAACATTGCAATGTGGTATCAGAAATCCCAATAATTCTATAAATTCTATATGTGGTTTTCTTGTAGGGAAAAACACCATTTGCTTTTATTTCACTTACTATCAAGAGACAAAAAAACTTGTTTTCATGTTTTAATTTGATACCTAAAACTCAACAATAACAGAAATAGCCAATAAATGTTTCCAAGAAACTATATTTTTAATATTAAAGGAAGTTACCAAATTCTGTAACCCTTTAAGCATGTGAAAAAATACACTTAAGCGGGGGGGACAGGGAGGTAGGGGGTTGGATTCTCCTGCTTTCAAGCTCACATTTTGAGGTTGGTGGCACATATCTATAATCCCAGTAACCTGAGAGGCTGAGGCAGGAGGATCACAAGTTCAAAGCCAGCCTCAGCGACTTAAGCAAGATCCTGCCTCAAAATATAAAAATAATAAAGGCTACGGGTATGGCTCCGTGGTTAAGCACCTATGGGTTCAATACCACAAAAACAAACAAAAAAAAAAGCAGCTCAAATCTTATTAGAGAAAGACATGAAAAACATGTGTCAGGTGAATGTGGATCAAGGTGAACACATTAGGGAGGCTAGGGCCATGGAGATGGCAAAGGACAGTAGTAGAAAATGGGTGTCACACACCATCTCAAGGGCAGGAGACAGCAGAGAGGGCTGGGCTTCCTGAGCAGTGGCACCAGGGAAGCCATAGAGATAGCTGAAGAGTTAGCACTCGTGCTTACCTGCCAGAGGCCTCTTTCAGGCGASTGGAACTTATGTGGCATGGGAATCTGGGAGTGGTAGGAGGCCACACTCAGCCTCAGCTGTGAGCAGTCATCATGTTAACAGCAGAGTATAATCCTGTCAGAGCTGGGARTGTCCAGTTGGTAAACTGAAATGGCTTAACAGCAGAGAGGGTGGGACTGATCCACCATAATGTGGAGAGGAAGCTCACAATTTGGAATGCAGCCTACTCTGGTGGAATTCTTTCTTTGAAAATGTAGTTTTTAATGAATATCTGTTATAGCCTGAATTGTATCTYCCCCAAAATTCATTTATTGAAATCCWAAGCCCCAGTACCTAAAAATGTGACTTTTGTTGGAAAGAAGGTGACTGCAGATGTGGTTAAGATGAAGCCATAATGGAGTAGGGTGGGCCTCTGATCCAATATAACCAGGGCACTTATAAAAAGGGATTTGGAGACAGACATGCACACAGGAAGAMGACCACATGAACACTGGTGCTACAAGCTAAGGAACTACCAGAAACTAGGAAAGAGACCCTGAAAAGACCCTTCCTTAGTGTCTTCAGAGGGCATATGGCCCTGCCAMTACCTTAATTGCAGACTTCTGCCTCCTAGAATTATGAGACAATAAATTTCTGTTGTTCTAAGCCCCTTAAGTTCTGGTATTTTGTCACAACAGCTACAGGAAAGTAATACAACCCTTTTGCTAAAAAGACMGTTCCCATGGATAGGCTGRAGGAAGGTTGCAGTTGCCTTGGAATCCGTTGTACAGCTAAAGTATGTTTACTTCACTTATGTTGCCATGACGAAGTTAATTGAATCCTTAGAGTAATGGATGTATTTTGTGTCTGGCTCACAACAGTGTTTTCCATGACTTCACACTAATGATCACACTTGAAAGAATGGGTATGAATGGTAGAAATGCTTTAAGATAATAAGTGGTCACAGGAGAAAGAAATAAGACCAAGTGAATCGATAAAGTGTTTTTATATATGCTACTCTGTCCATCACAAGTCCGCTAGAGAGAACAAAAATTGTATAGAAGYAGCAATGTCCCACAAAGCAATTATAGCTGTAAAGATACCTCCAAAATTTTAATGTACAACATTCTCATAAGACTGTGGGAAAACAATGTTGCAACAATACGAGGTAGAAAATACCTCCAATTTCATATTTTGGTGGCAAGATTTGACCAATTAAAAAGTATCTTATAGCTTAAGAGTGTGCATTATGATTAATTTAAAAAATCAGCTSGTCCTAAAGGACATTGAAGCCTATTTGTGGAGGCCAGGAGAAACATAGTGTATTTCTCATCAACTTATTAGGAATATGTACTATTACAAAAAGATGGAGGGGATTGAACTGYTTTCTCTCTCCTTTTTTAATGGTACTGGGGATTGAATGGAGGCCTCACACAAGCTAGGCAAGTGCTCTACYATTGAGCTACGTACCTCCCCAGCCTTATTTATTTTTGAGACAGGGTCTTKTCTCAATAAATTGCCCAAATAAGAGCTGGCCTCAAACTKGTGATCCTCTTGCCTCAACTTCCAGAGTAGCTGGGATTACACGTGTGTGCCACCATGCCCAGAAGGATTGGGCTACTCTCATCTCAAGACTCTATGACTGTTTGAATGGTTGGTAATATGTTCTTGAACCAAGYTTATTTCTTTTTCTTGGTACTGGGGATTGAAACCACTGAGATACATCCCCAAGATGAGCTACATCGTGGGGATGAGATATATCCCAAAGTCTTTTATTTTTCAAGACAGGGTCTCACTGAGTTGTCAAGGCTGGCCTCAAACTTGCAATCCTTCTCTCTCAGCCTCCTARGTTGCTGAGATTACAAGTATGCACCACTGTACCCAGCCCAAGCTTATTTTCCTGGACCTATCCCTGACAATAAAAAAGTCAAGGGGCCTAACCTCTGGTACTGCTTTCAGAATTACCTGCACACAGCCAGGTAGTCTCTGGAGAAGAGACCACACAGACACTACCCAGCACAGCAGTGCTACAGGCACTGAAAACAAGGTGCTGTAGATTCAGTGACAGCAAGACATGGGAGCAAGGGTCTTTTTTAACCCTCTCATGTATATAAATTGATCTACTATGTCTGTCCTGATGGAAAAATGTGATTCAGTGAAACAGAATGGACTTCCATRGCATTTTCAGGCAGCAAGGACTATTCATCCAGACCCACTACAGGTGGATTRTCTTTCCATGCATTTAAGAAGCAGCACTTCATAGAGGGTGACATAGTGAACTTAATATTATAGGAAAGAGACCTGGGCATCATGCTAGTCTGTACTAAGTGTATGCGGAATTGAAGGTTGAATAAATAATTTCAAAGACATCTCCTAGCTGGCTTCTATCAGTCTGTGGGCCTCCAGAGAGACCCTCATTTAACTGTGGTRGACTTGAGTTGCTTCATCTGTCCAGATCGATTCCATTTCTAAAATCATACTATACCATAYTATTACAAGAGCATAAAAATTTTCATGTGGAATTTAAGCTTTCATACGCACTTTGGATTCTGCTTTCCCAGCTGGCAAAAATTCCATTTCAAAAACTGGATTATCATGGTGGCCAACAATTACAAAGTAGAAGCTTCCAGACATTATCTTCAATATATGGCTCCTAATTAAATTAAATAAAAAATAATATATTTTTAGTRCTCAATACTGAATGAAATCCAAAAATGATTAACACAAACTCTAKAATTTTTTAAATTTAAACTTCACATTGTAGAGGAGAATGCCACTGAGTTTGACATGCTTTCCAGTATATTATCATATACATGTGYCTTTTGGATTATACAAATTAGATATTTATGATATATCCTATAGAATATAATATACTKAGAATCCAATATACTGTATATCCAGAGGGAAACTGAAAAGCCTCTAATATGAAATCACAAAGATAACATTTTTATGATCTGAAAGTTTGGAACATTCAGCTCAAGGAATCCTGTATCTGACGGAGTTCCATTTAGTTTGGACTGAACCAGTTAGCCTGCACATCAACACCTGGGAAGATTAATAGAGGATGGTGAATAGTTAAGTACAATGGAATGTGGAAAAGATGAAAGCAATAATTAGCTTGCCWTGGAAATTTCCAGGAGGCATCCTTCAGAAGAAGCTAAAAACAACTGTATCACACACATGTATACATAAAGGAGACACTATAGCATTTGTTTACAAATTGTATACTTTGTCTTCTTTCTACCTAAAGGATGTGTGCTACAAATTTAAGTCTGCAAATGCAAGAGCCTATGATATGCCTCTTCATACACCAATTTATAAGGAAGAAACAAATCTGTATTCTAGAAAAAAATGGAAGAAATAATCCAAAAGGAAAAAATTCTGAGGCATTGAGATCTTGGAACTAGGGTTAAGGGTTGACTAAAGAAAACAAAACAAAACTAAGWAACTGGGCAGGGATAGTCAGTTATTCCAGGCTTTAGATGCACAGAAAGACAGATGATGGCTTGGTGGGGAGAGGAGTGGGGGTGGATGGATTTACACATTTGTATTTTTAGAAGAAGAGCTTTGGAGTTAAACAAAGCCAGGTTCAAGTCTAGCTCTGCCTCTTATTAGCAATGTGACCACAGGCATGGTCCTCCTTCTCCCAGTTTCTGTTTCYTCATCTGTGTAACAGGGATAACATCATAGTTTCCTCATCGTGTGCTTGTAAGGATGCCAAATCTAATGCATGCTGTCTGGTTCACAGTGATTATCTAGAACAACATGGAAGAGTATATACACACCAGGAGGTAGCATCTAGTAACTCCTCAATGTGTGGAGGGAATCCAGTTAACTGGGAGTATCCAGTCAGCATCCTGGACATCTGGGACAGATAGAGCCTAAGACTCACCAAACCTCACCAGGCCTTCTGCTGATTCACACAGAACATGCACTGAAATCAGAAATCTGAAATCTGTTTCCTAATCAGGAAATCAGGGCCTAGTTGACACTTTTAACTTGACTTGGTACTTTTAACTATGACTAATGAGAAAAGGTAGATAAACTCCTTTGGCATGATGAAGTAGGATTTTAAATGTTATTTGGGGCAGGGGCTGACATGCTATAGACTGCTAGTCAAATCTAGCCTCATGCATCCTCTTACTATTGTCTAAGGCTGCTTTTACCCTTCAATGGCAGAGCTGAACAGCTGCAATAGAGACCATCAGGCCCTTTAGAAAAAAGTTTGTCCCTGTTTTAGGGGAAAGATATGAAAAAGATTCAAATAATAAAACTGAATAACAAAGATAAGCAGGAATGATACAAMAGCTATGCAAAACTAGGGGAATTGGCAACAAATCTCCAATGGAAGTGCAGGAAGAGCAAAAGGAATTTGTAATTTGAACCAATAATGATATCATAAACTCTTGTTGGAAGAGGCTTAAAGCTGGAGTTTCCCAAGGGAAGGGCTTACTTTCTTCAGCACAAACATTTAAACAGCAATAGGAGAAAACACACAAACACCAAACTTAAGCAGCAGAATGAAATACATGTATACATTCCTCTCCAGACTCTCACCCATTTATGGAATCCACCAATGGGAGAGATGCACAGTGTTTGAGCATAGCATGAAGAGTTCTGTTAAAAACCACCCAGTTGAGCAGATGAGACAGTTTTCCTTACCTACATTCTATTCTTGACTTGRGCTGCCAATAATTTGATTTCACAAACTGCTCAAGTAAGAAGGGTTGTAGTTCTCCACCCAATTCTACTGAAGAAAACCTGCCAGGTGAAGCAGAASAACTGAAAACCTTGGGAGAAAATAACCCCATTGTCTCAGGAACAGAACACCTGCAATTACTTAGCAACTACTTGCAGGCTCACTACCACTGGGTAATAATGGGTAAAGGTGAGACAAACTATTGCTGTCCAATATACTGAACTTTCTGCAAGGATGGAAATGTTCTATAACTACACTGTCCAAAATGGGAGCCAGTAGCATTTGAAATGTGGCCAGTGTGACTGCAAAACTAAGTTTGAAAATTTAGTTAATTTTAATTAATTTAAACATAAATAGCCACATGTGGCTAATGGCTACAATACAGAAGAGCACAACTACAGATCAATGATTGTAAACTCTTATAAATATAAAAGTTCAGCAATCTTTTCTACCCACAAAGCAAGTATTACTCAGAATTCCAATATATAAAATAAATTATATAAAGCAATCGATATGGTTAAAATGCCTGTTGGCATGAGTCTGCTCAATTTTCCCATCACCTTAATAGAGGCCCTTGAAACATCTCCAAGGATGGCCAGGTCTAGAGGTAAGGAGGTAGCTACACAGAATTTGGGAATTAAACTGGGGAGCTGAGGAAGAGAGAAGAATCTAGCATGGTTTCCAAATGCCTTGCTCAGGTGATCATGCTCAACAGTGCCCCTCTCTTGAGAAGTCCTAATCTATGGAACCTGTATGTCAGTATTCCTGGCAAAGAGGCTTTAAGGTTGCAGATGGAATTAACGCTGCTCGTCAGCTGACCCTGAGATAGGAGATTATTCTGGCTTATCCAAGTGGGCCCAATATAATCACAAGCATCCTTAAATACGGAAGAGGGCAGCAGAGGAGGAAAATCAGAGGGAAATGTAGGCACACAGATGGTCACAAAGCTACAGTGTTCAGGGCTTTGAAAATGGAGGATTAAGCCAAAGCCAAGGGATGCAGGTGACTTCTTAAAGCTGGAAAACACAAGGAAACAGATTCTCCTCAGAGTTTCCAAAAGGAACACTGCCCTGCTGATCAGTGAGACCTGTGTCAAATTTCTATCTACAAAACCGTAAGGTAATATATTTGTTATATTAAGCCACTGAAGTTGTGGCAATATTAAGGCAGCAGTAGGAAACCTGTRGGTATGAGAAAAAAGGCAGTGTCAGCACATGGGTAGAAGGCATGTTTTATGAAGAGACAGGAGACAAAGGGATTTCACTTATCAGGAGCATGGGTTTCAAAATACATAAAAGGTATTGTGGGAGGCCATGATATACCAATGTGAAGATAACCACAGCAACATGGGAAAGACAATGTGGAAATAAACAGAGCCTATATTTTTTTCCACCACATATCCATAATCACAAGATGCCCAATGCTTGCAGAATGGAACTGCAGAGAAGGGGCTGTAATCTAGACTATGATGTTTTTCAGATGCTGCTGGAATGCAGGAATTAGGAACAAGGTGGGATTTCAGCATTAAGTAGCCTCAACACTGAAATGAACTGATAACTCTAGTGCTGAAATCACAGGGGTCTCAGGACTCTCGGGTGATCAACACTGTTTGTGAAAGGTTACTAAAGTYTGACAAGGGACTAGACTTGATGGCTGCTGAGGAGAGCCAGAACTCTCACTTGTGGTAGAATGGGTCCCTGGTGGCTAGGGAGACTTGATCCTCTTTTTGAGAGGGAGACAAYTAAAGAAATCAACTTGGTGATATGAGGTGCTCTCTGGCTACCTTAAAGAGGACAGATAAATGATGTAGAAAGCAGGTCACTAACTAGTAATGAATATAACAGGACCAGAAATCTGTGAGCCTAGAATCAGAAGGGCAAAAGCCCAYAAGAAACTGAAAAAGTGTGAAATATATTAAAATATATATTTTTTTAAAAAGCCTTTTTTAGGTTTTGATGAGGAAAGAGTAGGGGAAAAAGGTCAACTGCTTCAAGTACATGGTACATACTGAAGAGGACACAGATCTCCTTAACTTCCATTTTTTGTTAGAATAACTTTCAAACAGCAAGCATGGAAGAAAGCAAGTTAGGCAGGATGCAAATTTCAAGGTAGGCATGTTAAGAAAATAGGCATTTCAATAAATCTACGTCTTCRGGTCCTAACAAATTATATAGCTTGGATTAACAAATATTGTGTATTAGTAACATTTGAGTAAGCCCTGGTATATAAAAGTGTCATAACCTCAGAGAAAGATAAATGCTACTACTTTCAGAAACAGGAAAAAAGTTGTCTCCTAGTCTATAACCGGGCACCTTCAAAGACACTAATACAACAGAAATATGTATTAAATTTCCATTTTTGGCCAGATACTGTGTCAGGAGCTTTTATTATAAGTTCATTAATATGAATACCTAGAAGAAATAGATTAGGTTATTATTTATTCACATACTCCACTTATACTGAGAACAAGTCATGCAAAATTTACATTTTGTTTTGGAAGGGAAATATGGTACGTAGACAGTAAATCATTTTTTGCCAGTATCTAAGAACAAACTGGAGACCTATAGCCTGGGTGATATTAGAGTCTTGCTAGAATGATACACAGTATGAAAACAGATGCAGTCTTATTCACTGTGATAACCCCAGAGCTACAAAAGTGCCAGAGGTCCAGTAAGCATTGATTATTTGCTGAATAAAGGATGACTCACTTGAGTGTCAGGACCTGAAGAACACTGCATATTTATTCTATGTCAATTTATGGCCCAGGGTCTCTAAGGAGGCTTTGAGGTTGACCTTAACCTAGTCTAGGTCAGCATTTAAACTAACTTGGACAAAACTTACCACATTCAAGGTAACACTAAAGGCAGATAATTTATTAGATGGTAAAATAGGGAGCCAGGCATGGGGTGCATGCCTATAATCTCAGCAACTGTCACAAAATAAAAAAAGGGCTAGGGATGTAGTTCAGTGGTAGAGTGTCTCTGAGTTAGATCCTCAGTACCCTGCCCCCAAAGAATTATTTTAAAACTCCATTGCTAGGAAAGTCAGGTGAAACTAACAAGATAATTTAAGAGGATGAAAAATAGAGCCCTGCAAGTGGGTTTAAAAAAWTAATAATAACTGCACGGCAACAAGAGGAGGGAAACCTAGATTAAAAGCAAATCTACCCAAAGTTTTAATTTTGCAAGCTCAGTTAATAGGTAGCAGTTTGATATGATGGTCAAAAAAACAAACAATTTTAGGCTGCACTGAGAGAAAGAATGTCTAAGCAAGGTTGGGAAAGAGATGAAGTTCTCTTTATTAATAACATCATCTTTGGGCAAGGTACTCAGTTCTGGGAATCACAGAGATCAATAACTCTAAACTATTTTTTGGGGGGGGGGGTGGGATCTAGGCTAGAGAATGCTCTGGAAACAAGAGGAACTGAAGATGTTGCGGTGAGGGGGAGACTGCTTGTGTGTGTGTGTGTGTGTGTGTGTGTGTGTGTGTGCACGCGCAGCATAATACTCTATGCTATCTAATAGAAAAGGGATTTGAGTTAGGGATGGCAAAGGGTTTCTTCTAGTGAATGAATTCTAACAAACTGGTACTATCAAACAGGAACTGGTGCTGCGAAAGAAACTAAGACAAAGTGATGTCAGCAGTTAATTGCTGTGATCAATTATTCRTGTCTGCTATAGGGAGTGCAGTGCCTACATGAGTGTCAAATATTTAGACTCTGGATTGGAAAGACATTYCAAACAGCTCTGTAGGCCAAGCTCAGGGCTACTTTGAAGTTACAAGGAAGCTAGAAATGTGTAAGGGGTGGTTTGAAGACCACCAGTATCAGAGTGGGAGGATGATCTCAACTTAAAATTCCCTTCCAACTCTTAAGAATTTTAAACTGCAGAGAAATGCAAGGCAAAACTCATGCATCCCAGTTCCAAAGCCAACCATTTCTTACAAAAAAGTTCTTTACAGCCTYTATAGAGGAACTTAACTGCCCTGTGCTCCTGAGAGCAGTGGTTTCAGTTGTTCCATAGACCTGGGGCTGCAAGACTCCAGCGGTGTGGCAAGGGACCTGATTATTGCAATAAGTGGGTTTAAAAAAAATGAATAYTATTGATAAGTATCTAATGGGAAATCTTTCATTAATGTTATAAGCAATTTCCCCACCCCTAAGTGGGTTAATGCTGACTCTTAGAACATTTTACCTAATCCTATTTCAACTCTGTGACCAAAAGATGGGGTTGGGAGTGTCTTCAGGCCTTTTTAAACAGTGAGCATRTGATTCTACTTTTTAACAGTAAATATCAACACTTATCAGAACACTGTTTTCATTGTTTCACTGTTCTGCTCAAAAGCCTTAATGTTTCTCAACTACAACATCATGTACTAATACCCCAAACAGATTCCCACAYTGTCTTTTCTCAACTTTATTGTTCRCCTCTGATAGAGCTGAGACCGCCTACTTACTTTTCCTCTAAAACTCACTTTGGATTACATCCACTCCAGACTGTTCTTACTTCTTTGTGCTTGGAATGCTCTCCCTAATTCTGTACAACCCTTTCCCATTCTTTAATGTACAACTAAGTCCCTCTTCCACAATTATTTCCAACCCAAACCTATAGGCTTTTCACCTCCTCTGAAGTGTTACTCTTGCTGGCTTTTAGATACTTAAAACTTTTCACAGCCAGGGATCAAACCTCATTRTACTCTTCAGTACTGTGCAAAAAGCTGACACTGACCCAATTTTGTCCTCATAGGACTTAAATACCTTATGTCCCCAGGGCACGACTTTGGGAGCCAGGACATAATCCGCACCCCCACCCCATTCCTTTGCACATTTCCCCCTTCCAGCAAAGCTCTCCTCAGTGCTCATCATTCAAATCCTCCCTATCAAGGCATTGATTAGTTACACTTTTTCCACAGATATGTCCTTGATTACTTTCATCTTAAACTGCCTCCGCTTTTTATAAACTGTTTACCCAGTCTACAAGGCATCTTCGTTCTTCAATTCATTGGCTGCGCTATTTTCTTACTGGTGAGAGMTCTGGTTCCTTTTCTTTCTAATTAAACTTGAGCATCTTGCGGGATCGAGCTCACCTTTTTAAAATCTTGCTCAGAGCACACAACGGCGGAAATTCTATGAAAGCTCAGCTCCGTGGTTCTCAAAAACTGGGGGCGATTTTGCCTCCCAGAGGTTGTTTGGCAATGTCSGGAGACTTGGTTCTCATACCTGTGCGCGTGAGGGCCGAGAGCYACTGGCTTTTAGACGGTACAGACCGGGGACGCTGTGACTATCTTACGATGCACAGGACTGCCTCCTACAACAAAGAATTTTCCAGCTCCACATAGCAATAATGCCGTGGTTAAGAAACACTGGGTTAGCTGAAGGACCTAGTGAGAGCCAAGTCTCCGAAAAGGCGGACGTTTGCAGATCGAAACACAGTGTGGATTGCCTGGTGGGCTAACTGAATCGGCTGGCCAAGGCCGGGGCGGGGTGGAGGTACAAGACCAACGTGCGCTTCACGTGGAGCCTGGGACGTCCCCCAAGGACCCGGAGCGCCCGCCCCCCACTCGCTCCAACCCCTACCTGTAGTGAAAGGCMGATAATGGAAACGCCCAGTCAGTTCGCGCCACAGAGACCCGCGCTCCCCAGCTTCAGTCAGGACTCCAGGAGCAGTACTCGCGAGACCCTAACGGTACGCTCTCGCGAGATGTGGGTGGAACTTCCGGTGGGGCTGGGCGCGTGCGCAGATGGACGCGTGCGCCGTAACAGTCCAGACAAAGGCGGTTCAGTTTGGCGGGTCTCCTGGAGGGGTGATGTGGGCTCTGAGCCGTGAAATCTCTGGGTGCTGCCCCGCCACCCCGCCCCGGCGTCCGCCCTCCATCAGCCTTTCACAGTTCTTCAATTCACGCCCTAGGGTCACGGCCCTGCCACCCTTCAGAACCGCGGAGAAAGGAAGTACGCATCTTCTTCTGAGTTCCTAGTTCGAGTGTTAGGCAGAACATTCAGCTCTCTTGTTTTTCCCTATTCCCCCCAAACAGGCCGGGATTCCTTCTTGTCCTGAGCCTGCTGCCTGGACTGAACTTTGGAACTCGGGTCCTGGCGATTGGGAGGAAGCAGATACCTGATGATGGCTCAGGTAGCTAGCTATACCTGCCACTTCCCCGGTACTGGCAGAAATGAAGTCTCTGGGTTTCCGGGGAGGCTGCTGGTCTGTTTTCAAAAATTAGTGACCCCTTTGCCCACCGAGTAACTCATAACAATTTTCTCTTCCAGTCTACCATGTCCCCCAAGTGTGATGTATTGAGTCAAGATGAGCTGCGAAAAAAGCTGTACCAGACGTTTAAGGATCRGGGTATACTGGACACGCTTAAGGTATCAGATTTAGGCATATCTGTGTCATAATTTACAAGTGTAATTGGTTAACAGTCCACATTTAAATTTATCCAGAGCTTGGGCTTTTCAAGTAGTATGATGTACACATTGTATTAATGAATTACATTTTTATATGGAAAATATTGAGTAGTCGTAAAAAGAATATTCAAATAATAGATTTATTGAACTGACATTAAGTAAGTAATACTTATATAATGAACACCTTTTAATTTAGGTTTGTTTTRTAAATGTAGTTTACAGATTCCTTAACAAGTGGTTTTGTAGTAAGTTTGATTGAAGAGGAGCATTAACACTATATAGAAAACATTAAGTGTACTGCTTATGATAGAATAGCTTAAGGAATAAAAAATTTTTTAAATATTCATATGTTTCAATATATTTTGTCAGAGATTTATTTTTCTCACAATTATACTTTTTAAAWTTTTTTAAAAATTGTAGATGGTCACAATACCTTTATTTATTTTTATGTGGTGCTGAGGATCGAACCCAGTGCCTCATTGGAGCTAGGCAAGTGCTCTACCACTGAGCCACACTTCCAGCCCCAGAAWATTATTTTGATAGTTATTTTTTACAAAATCAGTAAAACAGCAGTTTATTATATTATAATTTTCAAAATTAGATTTGAKTTTTGGCTAAGTGGGGCAGAAAACAAAATGTCTTGGACTGTTGGCTCAGAAATCATCCTAGGAAGCCCACCTTGATGCCTTTTGTGCTTAGCTCTAATGAGATGACATAGGAGGATTGAAGTGAATAATGCAATGTTCATTAAACACCTTCCAGCTCCTATCATTTCCCACTTCTTCAACATTCAATTCTGACTACATCCATTCAACTTTGTTTCTTTAATAACATGAAATCAACCCAAAATTTTTTTTTTCTCTTTCTCTGTCTTTGCAGAGGTTTTTTACTACACTGAGGTCTGGGCCTTACAGTTTTTTGTTTGTTTTATGTTGCTGGSGATTGAACCCAGGGCCTTGTGCATGGGCAAGCACTCTACCAATTGAGCTATATCCCCAGCCCATGGGCATTACAGTTATTATAAACTGGCCCTAGTGTTTATAGGTGTGGCTGGCATTGATTTTTCTCTGCCCCACAAACTCCTCACTGTTCACACCACTACTGGGTAYCACCATATTGGACTCTAATATACTTTAATATGGATAGCAAATATGTATTACTACACTATATATTTAGATTATCATCAAGGAGTAGAATTGGCTCATTGGTTTTTTTGATAATATATATTTCAGAAGTATGTTCTACATTTAAAATAACAAGAAATTAATGAAAACTGAGCCTGATTC